ATATATATCTCAGTATTTTTCAATAGCGTCATTCCTGATGATGACTGAAACCTAGTCGAAACGTTGAATAAAATGTTAACTATTTTCGGAGTGTCTATTGTTTTGTTCTTTTTAAAATTACTCAATGGCAACCGTAATATATACGTATGTTGTTGTTGTGTATGTATAATTACTATAGCTAGCAATACTGTACACAGGGCCACCTAGAGAATTTGCGGGGCCCGAGGCAAACCTTCCCTGGGGGCCCCATGACATTATTTTTAAGCTAGACCCAACTAAACCTTAGGTATACTGCATGTGGAGGTACTGTAAGTAGCCCTTAATTTCAAAAATGCTCTTTATAGAATCAATTTTAGGCTCTTGCTCTCAAGTTGGGGCCCTATTAAGGTGGAGGCCCAGGGCAATTTCTCCCCCCCCCCCCCGTCTTGGCGACCCTGACTGTGCATGTGATTATTTTGATTATAGCTAAATGGAATATCCAACCCTATCGTAGAATGTGTTATATTTTGAGTGTATACCATATTGCTAACCCATTGAGCTGAATTGTGCCTTACTTCAATGTTGTTTTACTATCAATATTTAAATATAGCTTGTTTTGGCAAGACATGACATCCTTTGGCAAGACATGAATCCTTTTGGTTTTTCACATATTGAATTTGACAGAATGTCATTTCTGCGATATATCGAAACAATGGATAGTTTAGAGTTTTCGACATATTGAAAAAATGGCAATCTTTTGATATATCGAAGAAATGGCATTCTTTCAATATATAGAAGCCATGGATAGTTTAGTTTTCGATATATCGAGGAAATTGCAATCTTTCGATATATTGAGGAAATTGCAATCTTTCGATATCTCGAAGAAATGGCATTCTTTAGATATATCGAAGAAATGGCATTCTTTCGATATATCGAAGAAATGGCATTCTTTTAATATATTAAAGAAATGGCATTATTTCGATATATCGAAGAAATGGCATTTTTTCGATATATATCGAGGAAATTGCAAACTTTCGATATATCGAAGAAATAGCATTCTTTCGACATATCGAAGCATTGGATAGTTTAGAGTTTTCGAAATATCGAAGGTGGCATGTTCTTGATATATAATTTTCACTGACTGTGGCTGCCTCCAGACATGTTTTGGAACTATAACATTTTCCTCTTTTTCCCCTTTTATTTACATGCATTTTACTCACTTTGCTAAAAACAAAATTTTGCCCAAATTTTTTAGCAGTTTTTTATTCTTAGAGATTTAGTATCACTTGTAACTTGGAAAAGCTAAAATTGTTGCAAAATGTGTATGTTTTTGCTGAATATATTTTCAGTCATTTTTAACATGCATTTGATGTGATTTTCCTATTAAAACATGAAATCTGTCATTGTCCACATTTGCAATTTTTCTTATGTTTTTAACCAATTTTTATCATGTTTGAAAAAGAATTCTTGTTTTCATGCAGAATTATTGCATTTATGTATAATTTCTCCACAGTCATGGCTGTATTCATTGAATTTTTTAGTGTTTTCTTTCATTTTCCTCTCAAATTCTGTTAAATAGAATATTGGACCCTATAATAGAACGTGTTATTGTATATTAGTATATGGTATTCTAAATCGTACCAATAAGATATTCCAAATTTCGGCAGTTCGAAATGGAAATGAAGAATTTAATACGATGACAAATATAACTGGAAAAACTTATTTTTTTAAAAAAAATTATACGGATGTTTATAAAGAACACCGTAAGGACTGAAATCTTTTGTTTTTCTAAAAATGACAAACATTGGAAAGAAAACAAGAGCTTTAATTTGAAAATAAATATTTTCAGGGTGGACGACCACCTTAACATTATTATTACCACTTTCGCAGATCTTTCCTTCGTATCCCTCCTTACATAGGCAGTTGAAAGATTTCTCCGGATCCCAGATCATTGTTCCACCATTGCGACATTCATTCACTTCCCCTCTGCACGATGCCTGCGAAATAGTTCATTGCATGATCAAATTGGCAATAGTGGATTCGTATTTAACCAAATTGTTACTTATTGTGTGCATTTTGCTCAAACAACGCGTATATACTGTATTAAGCTTAAATATAGACAGTTTTATGTAACTTGTGAAAAAATAGGACCTTGTGTTCAAAACGTATGGCCAACTGAGAAAATAGAGTTACTAAAAGAATAACGAATGGTTTTCCGTGCAGGATTGCGTGATCCATGCAGGTGGGGTGTTGCGAGACTTTCGGAAAGCGTAAAACTACATGAGCCGTAGGCGAGTGTATTTTTACGCTTTCCGAAAGTCGAGCAACATCCCGAGTGCATGGATCATGCTATCCTGCACGGGAAAACCATTTGGTAATTGTTTTATAAAATTACTACAGTGAAACGACGGTTATCTTGATTAAAATTACTGATGAAATGTGCAGTTCTCACAACAATCGTCAATTAACCAATCGGAGAATCGCTACTCCACGCTATTGAAAAACAACAACACATGTGAACAGAATTTGATTGCAAATTCGCGAAAATATACAGCGAAAATACAGCGACTTTTTCAATAAGATATACGAAATTTGAAATGGAAAACCAGCTGAACAGAGAGCCAAAGTAGTTTTGAAGATTCTCGATCTGAATATGTGAAGATAGCGAAGCGTTTGATCAACTTTGAAGCGAGAGATGTTGTACTTGCATGCCATGGTCTGATGAATTTCAACGCTACGCGTTGCTACTTGCTGAATAGCAATGTATCGATCAGAAATTTATTGATACAACTAAACCAACGTCTCAATAATTGCAAACTTACTTCAAAGTCGAAAGGTATCGTACAATGAAACTTTACAATGCGAGTATATTTGTAAAATTATGTGCAAAAATTGTAAAATTATGTGCAAAAGCCTGCACGGCTGTTTATCAATCAAATTGCGTGTTTCATTGTAGTTATTATATAAATAGACTTGCTAATCCACAAGTTTACCTGATTTTTGCTGAAATATCTTATATTTAAAAATTTCAAATAAAAGGGTTTATTGAATAATTAGGTCTATACGCATTTTATTCATGGACTAGAATTGCCATCTTTGGGGAGATTCCTTCATACAATGTTTTCAGAAATTCCAGGAATTAAAATATGTGTACATCGATTCTGACATCATCATGCAAGAAGCTTTCTCTTTGTCCCAATTGTTTTTTGAAATATATATATAATTGCTTACCACCTGATTGCGGGCTACATTATCTTTGATGAACGTCCAAACTCGCTCCTTTTTGCTTGCATTATTGTCAAATTTATGTCGAGTCGTATTTGTTAATTGGCAGTTCCATTCATTTTCCTGCGACTTCTCCTTGTAGTTGAATGCAACACAGAAACGGTGTTCTGCGCAATTAAGGCCGCAAACCTCATACGTTGGTTCTCTGAATTGAGCGATAATGTTTGTTTTTAAACTAGTCACATCTAAAATATATTAATTTATTTATTTAGGGGTTTTATATGACGTCACATGGGGGCAAGGGTCCGTGGCAAGGGTAAAAGCGGGCATTTATGTTATCTACATTGCTTTATATTGGCTTTTATAATAGTCGGAGAACTAATTTACATAAGATGCGTTGACAGCCATTTTGTTTCCTAGCTCTTTTGGTTGGCTCCATTTCAATGACTGAGACCCACTTGATTTAAATTAAGCTAAAATATCACGTGAAAAAGGAAACCTTCAGAAATTCACTTCATTGTTATAATTTAAATGGCCTGAAGCAGGGTTGAAATTTGAGTTTAACTATAGTGCGAGGCAGCGAGGCACGATGCGAGGCAGCGAGGCACGATACGAGGCAGCGAGGCATGCGGAAAACGAGCGAGACATGCGAGGCGTGACGAAAAACGTGCGAGGCATGGTCAAAACGTACGAGGCATGGTCAAAACGTACGAGGCATGCCTAAAACGTGCAAATTCTTTGTTTGCAAAGATTTCGACAAACTGTGAGGCGTGCGAGGCATGCGAGGCATGCGAGGCATAGAAAAAAGTCAACGTTTTAAAGTTTTTGGAAAAGTTAATTTTTTTATTTCTCCCAGGTTGTGAAATTTCTTGCGGCTTGACTAAAGTGGCTCAACTTGAGCCACAGGAATTGAGTGGGCGACGGTCGGAAAACGTTTGGTGAGTTCGCAGGCTAGGGCACAGAATAAAGACACCTAGAAGATCGACTCGGCGTTGCTAGTTAGTGCGCTTATGGGAGGTATCCCCCCTGAACGTCCGCAATTTTGAATATTATCAGGGGGTGAATGCCTCTCATAAGCGCACTGGCTAGGAAAGAGGTTGCAGCATTCTCTTTTCTAGAAAATAAATAAAAAAGGACAGGATTGAAGAAGATTCTAAAATGTTTATCGCTCAATCGAGAGTCTAAATGCAGTTGATATCGAGACAAATACGCAAAGAACGAAGCACCGGAAGCGGACCATATTAAGGCATAGAATGCACTAGCCACAGAATAGAAAATGCTGCAACCTCTTTCCTAGCCAGTGCGCTTATGAGAGGCATTCACCCCCTGATAATATTCAAAATTGCGGACGTTCAGGGGGGGATACCTCCCATAAGCGCACTAACTAGTAACGCCGAGTCGATCTTCTAGATGTCTTGTCCTGAATTCTCGCCTCCCTGAGAAGTATCCAGGGCAAATCACGATAACAAAATAATAATAACTTTATAATAACTTTATAATAATAATAAAATACAAATCTCTCTCACTGATTTCTCACTGTTTCTCTCTCGCTGGTTAGTCTCGCATGCTTGTTAATCACGTGACCCATCACAAAACTGTCAATGTTCGTATTGGCTTCGTAAAGCTCCGTAATGAGCCCAGTTCGCTACACACTCCCCCATGTATACTCTGAGAGTTTACATGTCACAATACGAACTGGGTAACTAAGTAATTTTATGAATAATATAAATGTTTATTACGAACTAATTAATTGTCTTTCGATAAGTGTTCACATAGCAAGTCTCTGCAATCTTTAATTAAAGTTGCTTTTCATCCTCTGCAATGTCTCTTATGCGTAACGTAGCTGCTGCTGCAGCATTTCGCTTCTGTCTGGGTGTGAACTCTTGTGCATCTGGATCTAAACGAGTTGTAATCTCTTTATCGCATTGTAACTCTAACGGGAACAAGTGTTGTATCGCGCGTTCCAGGTAGTTATTACCACCAGCAGTTTTAAGCTTAGCTGCCCGTATTACACCGTCTCTGCCCGTGATGAGTTGATTAACTATGGCAAGTTTCCAGGTATTTCTTGGTTTTTGATCTTCCTTTACAATCCGGATCTCTCTAACTTTGGGATATTGCATTGATTTTGGTCTAGTCATTCGGTGTTGCTCACGAAGACCACGCACATATCCTCCGATAATTCTGCCTCTACACTCCAGAATTCCGAGGTTGTTCTCCTGTAGGTTTAATCGCTCTCGGTCGGCTAAATATCGTGCATCGTGTTTGACTGCGTCTTGGGCCCGTCGTATCCACCATTCTCGTTGTTGTTGAACCTCGCGACTGTTGATGGGACCTCTCTCTTTCTCTCTCTGTGCAGGTTGTCGTTTACAATTCAGAATGAACCGTCGAACCCACGCTCCAATTCGTAGCACTTTCGGTAAAGGATATTTATCAAGTAGTAGATCCATGATGTCTTCTTCAATGTGTGCAGCTTTGAAGATTTCTTTAATCACTTTCGCTTCTGATTTGCTATCTGGTGTCGGTTCCAGAACTCGTTTTAACTGGCCATTCTGCAGGATTGTTTAACCATGATGGACCCTCTTTCCATAACGTGTTCCCAGAGACCTTTCCTCCCCGACTTCCGATGTCGGCTGGGTTTTCCGCTGTTGGAACGTGATGCCAAGTAACATTCTCGTGCTGACGAATCTTTTGTACTCTGTTTGCCACAAATTGTCGGTATTCACCTTGATCATTGATCCAATACAGCGCTACGGATGAATCGAGCCAACAATGAACAGTTGCTGGATGAGTAGTGAGAGTTTGTTGAACATTTGTGGCTAGGTTTACAGTCATGTGTCCCGATATGAGCTCAAGACGTGGAATGGTCAAGTTCTGCTTCGCTATTCGTGACTTCGAACATACCAATCCCTGGGTAACTCCATCCTCTTGTTTGACTACTGCATAGACGACTGCACAAACGCCGTTTGAGCTCGCGTCTCCGAATCCATGCAAGGTGATCTCTTGAATTGGTTGATGGTATGAGGCTAAGGACCGAGGGATTGTATAGGACTCGAGCGCTTCGTTCCATTCCTTCCATTTCTTTCGTAGTGGGCCTGGTAGGTCTGCATCCCATGGAATTTTACTGTCACACGCACTCCGATAAACAAGTTTTCCGGTCAGTGTGGTTGGTGAAGCCAAGCCCAGGGGGTCGTAGATTCGTGCCAATTTTGACAAGATGCTTCTCTTAGTTACAGGTTCAGCGTCTGTGGTGAGGGTCACGCTAATAGTATCGTGCTTCCTATCCCAGGGCACACCAAGTAGTTTCCCATCGGGCTGTTCGATCCCTGCCAGTTGACTTTTGGCATATGTTAGTTCACTTATCTCTGATGACGATTGATTCTTTGG